CCCCCCCCCCCCATTTTTTTTTGGCGTTACAGATGGTCTGTACGGTTCTTTCTTTAGGTGCGCTAACTCAACGATTTCTTCAAACACAAACGAGTGTTTAGAATCGAATCAAATAATACAAAAGTCAAATGACCAAAGATGGGTATACCAGTAACAACTGCGTCTGGAGTGTCCGCTTGTCTGCCTTTAGTTGCATGGCCTAAGCTCGCCCCTGCTGCTGTTGGACACCCCGACCCCTTTGATTCTTTGTTGCAGGTCGGTTGGTGTTATCATCTCTCCTAGTCGACATTCCCCCAGGTGAGGCCGCTGATGCTTAGGACATAGATTCCTGTTCTGTCCTAGGGCTCTTCCTCGATTAATAATGCCTCCATGGGACGGCCTGCCAGTTCTGTGAAGGTTCTAGTTTATCTTTTTCCCTTGAGCTGTGTTGTGGGGTGTTTGGGCTGATCCTGACTGTGAGTTATCAATAAGAGGCATATCAATGAGGGTCGCCATTTTGAGGGCTTTTGTATAATCTATGGATGCCTGAAATGCCACATAACCTCTAATGTTCTCCCTTAGACCAGTGATAAAATGTTCAGCCCTCAACTCTTCAGTGCTAATAAATATTGGAGAGAATCTTGCCAATCTATTGAATTCCAAATCATAATCCTCCATGGATTTTTCACCCTACTTGAGTTCCAGAAACGCTGCCTGCAATTTCATTCTAGCAGTGACTAGATAGTATTTGCGAAGGTAGGCTTCTTTGAACTGATACCAAGTGATAGGCTCTTCATGCGGTGCAATAATTCTTTGAGCGCCCTTCAATTAGAAATGAGCCTCTCCCTTTAACATATAAGTTCAGCAATGGACTTGATATTCCAGAGGTTGTCTCCATAACCTCAAGCTAGGTTTCTGCTGCGACGGGATCTATTTTACCACATTCATAGGAAGGCAGGTTATACCTCTAGAAGTCTTTCAGATAATGAGACTCCACAGTCACAGTCCCTGAGTCTTTGATCCCTTGCAATGTTGTTTGTTGCATTGTTGTTTGTTGCAGTTTTGTTTGTTGTATTGCTTGTTGCATTGTCGCCTGGTTAGCCACCAATGTTTGCATCATCTGAGTCATTTGAGTCTGATTTTCCATAGAGGTTAACATATATGCATGTAGCACATCCATAATGAGATTAGTTGTTGCCTAGTTAGGTGGAACCTCTAAATTATTGGTGGGCACTAGTGGGACCGGCTCAAGAAAAGGAGCAGTAGATCTGCGTCAGGTAAGTCTTGAGTCATTGCTCTCCTTCGACTCATTCCTGATTTTGGTGCCGGTGGTATAGGACTCTCATATCATTGGGGCATTTCACCAACCTTCTCTTGAGGTTCAGGTTTAGGTTGTTCCACCTCAAGTGAAGGGACATCAGTGTCCTGAGCGATTGTTCTTCTTCCCCTTCTAGGTCCAGACCCATGATAGGGTCCACCTCTCTTTGGCACCATTACCTACCACAATAGAAAAATTGCGGTTAAAATTCATTCAAAGCACATCCTCTAAAAAATGTGCAATTATAACACAACAAATTGTTAAGATAAATTCTCTACATAACAACTTAGCTCTTGACTTCGCAATTCAAATCCGTGAGATTGTATGGACGCGAGGGGCACGTGATTGATGGGCGTGTCATAGAGGTTACGACTCTCTAACCTAAGTGTCTATAGGACCTATCCTAGTTCTCTAGTACCAAATTTGTCACAACCCAATATTTAACCACAAGTCGTGACTCAAAATGACTATGTCGTGTAGTGTGTATGCAAGAAATTCAAAGGAAAAGATCATTTCAAAAATCAATCATATATTTCATAAGAAAAGCATTACAAACTCAAAGAATCCATATATGACTAGTTTTATTATGACAATGGAATAAAACATGAAGGACAAAATGTACTAATAGGTAAAACCGAACTGACGCCCCAGGACATGCTTTCCTCTGTGACAATCAACATCCCTCAATGCGCCCTCTCTCAAACCTAACACCTCACATACCTAAAAAAAGGAAGATATAACAAGGATGAGTATAAAATTATACTCAGTAAGCCACCTACTTGTAGGCTTTTATCGCATCCTAATCTTAACAGACTTCCACGGTCTTTTCTTTGGCTCTAGAACATCTAGTTCTGGTCTTAGCTCCTTGGGGCTTGCCACCTGTGGCTTCTTTCATTGTTTGTCCCTTCATTTAACCCTAAGAGTTCCCTTATGCCAACATGTGTTTGATTGTGCCCTGCAAGTAGCTACCTCTGCATGGCTTATGAGACTACCTGGTGTTTTACCTAGGAAGTGAGCATCAACCCCCCTAGTCCAATGGTAATTCCCCTATCTTGGGGAGGCCTACCTCCGCCTATCCCATCCAGCTAAATGGTCAGTTACGACGTGGGTCTCCCGTTCCCCAAGCTAAAACAACTATAGAAAAGTCGAGTCCTGATCAGGAACCCGCTGGTCACCCACGAAGCTTTAACACCAATCACACGCAAGTAACCTAAGGTTACTCTAGAGGTGGTTTGTATGACGTGGTAGTTTCTTAGGCTCCTAGGGGAGGGTTAAGTCTTCACTTAGGAACTTGTCACTCTAACCACAAAACCCTAGTCTTATCGTTAAATTGAATCATGAAAGCTAACTGAGTTTGCCCATTATATCTAGCATCATCATACAACATTCATGCAACAATAAACAAACATGCTCAACGGGGCGATATAACCATCAAGCTCTTGGAGCGTAGATTTCACAAGTTTCCTTCCACCTTTCACCATGAATTAAACATATACATATAAAGCGGAAGCTTAAAACAATATTACAACACTCAGATACTTCTCAAAATACTTTAAATAATACATCCATACTCTTAACAATCAAATTACCTACATTCAATTATAGAAAGCTACCACCTAAGGTAATTAAACTAGCATGCATCATAACCAAGCGACTCCTACAAGTATTTCTTCCTAAAGTTCCATGTGGCGTGTCCTTACGTTAGCGTTTCAACATAAATAGCGTGTCTAAAAATACTGATTTCCCCAATTAGATCCTATTTCATATAAAAGTAGCGTTAGAATAGGAATCAGAAGGAAAATAGGGAAAACAAGAGTCGAACGGTATGAAAATGAGCTTACACGTGCTAGCCACGAGCCAGGACAAGCTCAATCAAGAATTCCACGCGCAAACTTTAGGAAGAACATCCTTACCGTTCTTGGAAAACTTCTCAGACCTAAACGTTACATCCGATTTTCTGCACGGAATCAACGATAGATCTTCCCTAGATGAAGATAACAAACTTTAGCACTCCATTTCCAAAGGAAGATCTCATATCTAAAAAGAAACGTTTGAGATCTTACCTTACGGAATTCTCTCAAATCTTGACAAAAGATGGAATCTCAACTACACGAGTCTTCCTTTTCTTCAAGAAGATGTTCCAGTGGGTAATCTTGGTCGAGAGTGAACTTTGACGATGGTTCTCCGACAAGAACTTTGGCAATTTACTTTTCTCTCTCAAGTTTTTCTCTCAACTTTCTCTCTCACACTTTTCTCTTTTGCAAGCGCTCTATAGAAAATCCTCAAGACCCCTATAATGGGCTGAGGGGCGACCTTTTTTTTCATTTTCTTTTTTTATAGCGTTACAAACTCTTGCTTTTCCTCTACCTCTTTCTCCTTGGGATCCATTAGTCTTAGGTCTTCCTTTTAGTGCCATGGTTTAAAAATTGGCCGAAGGAAAACTTCTGGCGATTGAGAGGAACACGTCGAGAGAGAAAAATTGGCCAAAGGAAAACTTCTTCCAAGAAAAAAATAACGGAAAACAACAGAGAGAGAATATTTGCCTGAAGACTCGATGATAGTTATTTGATTTAGTTTCATGTATTTAAATAACAAACATATACTAAATTTAGCAATAGTGGCACAAACCTTGTGCCAAAAGTTGGCCAAAGTGGCCAGCAAAAATTATGCTCTTCCATTAAATGGGGAGAGTTAATTCAGATATTTCAAAAGTCAAAAACAACTAACGAAATTTAAGGAAACCATAGCTTTTATCTAACAATC